CCATCTTCACAGTATTAATCCTACCAATCCAAGAACAATTTATTTCTTCAGTGTCTTAAAGTTTTTATTATGCAAATCTTTCACTTGCTTGGTAAGAGTTATCTCAAAATAAGTTTTAAGGCTATTGTGAAAGGCACTGTTTTCTTGAGTTCTTTCTTAGTATGTTTGTCATTTGTATATAGGAAGGCCACTAATTCCTGTTAATTTTGTAAACTGGCCACTTTGTTGAAAAAATATTCAACAGATATAGTAATTTCCTGGTGGGAACTTTAAGGATCTTTTGTGTATAAAATTATACCACCTAAAAATAAAGATATTCTGACTTCTTGATTAACTATTTATATCACCTCGATCTCTTTCATTTGTCTTATTGTTGTAGCCAAGACATTAAGTATGATATCAATAAGTATGGGAGAGTGGACATCCAATCTGTTAACCTGTGTCTTTTTATTAGGGATGTTAGTCTGTGTCTTAATATGAGGTTTATCAATAAACAGTATTGATTTGCTACTTTTTGTTATGTTGTGGGCTTCACATACCCCTTTTGATTTGCTGCTCAGGAATTATGTATTCCTTGTGTCTTTTTGGGTGTGGTTAGCTTCTTCAGACCCAGGTTTTTTTTAGTGCCTTTTAGAGCTGGATTGGTAAATAGAAATTGCTTAATTTTGGTTTGATCATGGAATATTTTTCCTCTTCTGTTGGTTATGATTGATAGTTTTGCTGGGTATAGTAGTCTGGGTTGGCATCTGTGGTCTGAGTCTGTAGAACACCTGTCATGGCTCTTCTGGCTTTCAGAGACTCCATTAAAAAGTCAGATGTTATTCTAATGTGCCTGCCTTTGTATGTTTCCAAAGCAACTTTTAACATGCTTTGTTTTTTTTTTTTTACATTTAGTATTTTGGTTATTATGTGTTGTGGGGAATTTCTTTTCTGATCCTGTCTATTTAGTGTTCTATCCCTACTATGTAGATTTGAACTTTTTATAGTATCCAAGATCTCCTGAAAGGTTTGTATCTGGGTCTCTCTCTCTCTCTCTCTCTCTCTCTCTCTCTCTCTCTCTCTCTGTGCGTGCGTGTGTGTGTGTGTGTGTGATTTAGTGTTTTCTTTGGCTGAGTTAACCATTTCTTCTACTTTGCCTTTAAGACCTGAAATTCTCTTTTCACACGTTGTAATCTGTTGGTGAGGCTTGCCACTGAGGTCTTCACTAAGAGTCAGAGTCCCCAGGGAGTGGAGGTAGGGAGGGAGGGAGCCCACTGGTAACTACAGAACTAAGAGTAATTCAGGAGAGACTGGAATTGAGGACAGGAATGACAGTAAAAATCTCCTACCTGTATCCCAGCCCAGTGTGGCCCCTGAGGGTCCCTGGTAGAACATGTTTCTGCAGATCAGCAGCTGATACAAAGGAATGGATAAGGGCTAAAAGGAAAGGCTGAGAAGGGTGGTGGGAGATAGCTAGGGGAACCCTTGGGTCTGTACCAAGAGGTAGGGGGAGGTGTGATGAGAGGTGGGCCTCTTACAGGCAGGCTGTAGTAGCAGGAAGAGTCAGGTAACCCTAACCCCATTTTATGGGTGAAGAAGTTGGAGCATGAAGAAGTCAGAGATTTTGCTCAAGTCTCTCTGCTGAGGAGGGAGTCAAACTGGAGCACAGCCAGGTTGTTTTGTGTGAGGCTGTCACTGTGTGAGCTCACGACAACAACAACAAAAAACTAGTTTGGGACAACCTTGTAACTAACTCTACTATCAGCTGCATCTTTTCCATTCACTAGTCCAGATGAGATCAACTTTAACCTCGATTCTGACTTCCTGCATAGCTCTGTGATTTCTCAGAGATGTAAGCTTTTGTTTCTGATAGGTACATGCTCCATGCAGCATTTCTGAGCGGTTTCATTTCCATCCTGTCTTGACGATCACCTATGTGTGGGTCCATCCCCTTCTGCTTTGTGTAGCCTTGTCTTAGGTGTAGAGTACTGATATGACCTCTGTGAGCCATGGAATGCTCACTGTAATATGCAATTACTTCCTCCTACTAAAAAACAGAGCAAGTGAGGATACAACATCCCAGTGGCAAAGCAGAGGCCAGTTAGAGAGCACAGGTCATAAGTAGTCTTGGAGTCATTGTTGTAAGGACTGAAGGGAAGAAGACACAGTGGGACCTTTATTTGATACTAGTCTGGTGCTCCCCTCCCTCAATGACTTAACACAGCAAACTTTTGGCTACATCATCATATCATCATCATCATTAATCAGTCAATCGATCATCACCATCATCCAAACATGTATGCAATAGTTTGAAGAGTGCCCCTAAATTATTGCTTTCCATTACATTTATATGTTAACCTAAAAAACTTGGTTGTGATTTTTAACTATATTAGTGGACACTGGATCCCTTTTGAGTTACATCTTTCTGGTTACTAGTTACAACTGTTTGTTGTGAGTGACCTATTCCTGCTTTGCAATTCTACCTACAAGACCTTGGGGAAGTAATCTATGCTTTCCTGATGAGGATTCCAATATTCTTCACAGTACCATCCTGGGGACTAACTATGATAGTGTATGACACCTAGCACGGCTTCTCAAATGAATAAAGATAACAAATATAAGCAATGATTTATTCCCCAGGTTGGCCAAAGCTGGCTATGGTTTTGCATGGCTGACACATAGGAGGCAGGATAGTGGCAGTGGAGAAGATCTAGCGGTGGGGTGGTTAGCTAAGTGGTGACCAGATCAGGATATTGTGTGTTTACCAAGAAAATGGACTTGATCCTGTGGGTTAGGTTCTAAAGCCATCTTGATGGAAGACAAGTATGACCTTCTATCTGTAGTGGGTAGGATATGGTTCAAGATGCCTCCATATATAACACTATTTCCTGTTTAACAGCCCATAGCAGTGTCCCACACTATGCCCAGTGGCAGGAAGGTGGTCTTTAAAGGTTGAGTTTTAGTTAAAGATCTTGAAATGGAAGGCATTTACAAATAGTTCCCATATGCTGGTATACTAACCCTTTGAGATGCCTGCATTCCAGTATCATGGTGCCTTTGAGATAAGGAATGCTTCTAGAGCCACATATATATTCATGTCAATACATTGGAGGTTTATAATATGTTGTGTTAAGGTTCTAAAGGTATCTCAGTCTTTGCAAAATATATTCACACAAAGAAGCAATGGGAGAATGGAATGTGTCCTGATAATACTGAATACAGGCTGTAACTGATTAAGAGCCTGAAGGGATAAAAATTTTCCCTGTAGCTGGGATAGGTGCCTACAACTGCTAAGTGAGTAGACGGCCAGGAAACACACCGTGTCTTCTCCCAGGTCTTTCTTCATGCCCTGAATGAGGTTATAGTTACCATTACTGTTCAGAGGCAAGCACAATGACATCCTTGAAGTAGTTAGCAGGGTGGAGGCAGGTGGTAGGAAAGGGCAAGGCCCCCTAGGGAAGTAGAGTGGGCAAGGTGGTTTTCCTTTAAGCCTTACTCTCATGAGGTCTTTCGCATTTTTCTATTTTAAAAAGAAACCTACTCTCTTACCAAGAAATAGCCTAATATATTTAGGGGAAAAACCAGCCCACATACATTTTTTTTTTTAAATTTCTTGTGGTGCTGGGATTTGAACCCATGTTTTGGGAAAGGTGGGCAAGTGTTTTGCCACTGAGCTCTTTCCCTGACTTCATTTTCTCTATATTGTCAGAAGTTTGTTAAGATGAAAAATTACAAAAACCAAATCAACCCCCCACCAACCAATGTGCAGAAACTGGCAAGAAAACAAAAGGAATTTGAAAAAACGAAACCAAAACAAATGTTTGAAAACCATGTCTGCCAGGACAGAACACATGGAGCTATTTGGTAACCCAGAAGTATCATCTTGGTGTTTATTGTGCAATACCCATGAACCAAATTGTGCAGTTTGTAATTTTTTATAAATGCCACATGAAGTCTGTTAAACCAGGACACTGCTCAAAAGATTGTATCTTTTGTAGATTTCTAAATCTTATGATCTTAAATATGATGCATGTGGGTTGTAGTCACAAGGCTGTAGACTTCCCATTATTTGTAGTCTTACTACATTTACTTAGTTTTTGTTAAAACAAGTGAGAATTTAAAAGTGCAGTCTTTTAGTTGAAAGCACACTTTCACAGCAGTGGTGAGCACATGCTGTGTAGACTGCTCTGATGGAGATTTGGAGAGAACACCGAGATGGGAAATCTCTATTTGGGATATTTCTGCCCCACACCCAGAAGGGAATAAAGAAAAAAAAAAAACAAGGAAACACCTGGAGATGAAAGATTCTTCTTCAGTTTCACCAGATACATAAACTTCCAAGTGGGAGTCTTGAATCATGCCTGCTGTTTCAGCCTTGCAAAAGTAAAGCAATGTGCACCAGAACATGGTAAACTTTTCCTGCAAAGTTCCCACAGTAAAAGCTTACTGTGTATCATGGTTACTCAACCTTGCCGCTACAGCATGAGAGCAGCCATGACTGTGGAGCTACATAAAAGTACACATTTTCCTAGGCACGTGATGACCACAGGAACTTAAGAGTTCACACAACCTTCACATCATGAAATACTGAGCTGATTAAAAACACTTAGAGATGTCAAACCCACTTTTAACTCTTGGGTCCAACAAAAATGGCTTCAGGCAAGACCTGGCCAGGGAGGGTTCATCACTGGCCCAGAACACTGGAGTGGCTAGGCTATTCTGCTCAGGGTTTTCTCCATATTCCTCAGTCTGAATTTTATGTAGCTTCTGTCCCTTTTGCAGGTTTCTGTTAATGGAGGAGCATCACAAGTGATTGACACCCAGAGAAAAAGGTTCTTTTAATATCTCATCTTATCTTGGCAGTTTTTAAAAAAGGTCTATTTCTTAAATACTTAGGGCATTGCAGTTTGAGACTACAAAGCTAGATAGGTATGTTTCAAGGCCTTCTACCATTAACTAATCAATGAAAATGGCAAAAATTTAGGGCACTGTACATTTCTTTTTTAATAAACCACAAGGCAAAACAACACTTTATTTAATAATCATATAGGAAATTTCATTTGAAAATGGCAAATACAATACATATACAAAGAATCCGATCTTTAATACACAGATAAACCCCAGCTTCAAATTCTTTCTAAAATCAATCATATGCAAAATACTTGGTTTTTGGAGGAGTGTACAGGAAAGTATATACAATTTCTTAAACCGTGATATGGCTTATTTAATCACATATTTATTTAGAGAGGCAGACACTTTCCAAATACAAGTTATCTTCTAAGCAGAAAAGGGACACACTGGCACATTTCAACTTTGTGCTGAATTTTTTCAGGACATTCTTGATGGCACTATTTTAAATGACATTGTCATGGATTTAGCTGTCAAAGTCTCCAAACACATTTACCAATCTTAACAAAAATCAGAAAATGCCTGTTGGTTCCCAACAAACCTTTTGTAACCAAGAACTCAATGACCTGCTTGCTTAAATGGAGACATATAATACTGAGGAATTCCCACAATTTCTTCTTTCCAGTTTGCATGCTCCCACTAACATCACAAACAATATTAATTGTAAAATCAATCTGAAACCCTGGCCTGAAGGATCTATCTGACAGCCCTGGAATTGGAATTAGTTTGCAAATGATGGTCTCGCTACTGAGATGTCAGGTCACCTACCTGGAGGTAAGACTTGCTTTCCTTAGCCCAGTATCTTGTGAGATATCACTGTTCACTTATAACTAAGACCAGATGAACTGATCTAATATGTAGGGACACATTCTGTAATTTTCATCTTAGTCCATACAAGGTAGTCAGCAGAAAAAAATGCCTACAACTGTACTTCAAAGGGGTTCAGATTCAGTAAGATCATCTTATGATGGTGAACCAATAATCACAGATACATAAAGCCAAATGTAGCTGAAGGATGTGCTGCAGGATCAAAATCTCTAAGAGTGCTAACTAGCTTTTGAGAAACCCAAAGCCCTTCACAGTGGCTACTCAGTCTATTTCTGTCTCATATGCTCTACTAAGTACAACATACAGAAATCTGGGCAGGGGATGATCTGTGGTTTTAAAACCCTTTCTCGCCTGGAAAGATCTTTCTAAGTACTGCCTGAAAGTTCTCTCTGAAAAATGAGAGACACGCTACGCATCTATCTGATCTTGACTATGTCCACTCTGGGAAGGATTGCCTAAAGACAAATACTGACAGGTGGGCCACCTGGGCTGAAGACAGGCCACCAAGAGTCTTATGTCAGAAAATACTTCAGAGAGAAGAAAAGAGCCCCTACCCAAACTGAATAGAAACACAATAACCTAAGAAATCTAGCGATCTGGCAAACTGCTGACGGGAGCTGTGAAAATCTCTGATCACATCAAGACTGGTAAGTGTGGAAATCACACAGCTGTGTGCAAGAATTACAATAGCTCTGGGTTCTATCAAGTGTGTCTTAGTCAATGCATTCTCATTATGCTTGTTAAGGCAGCAAGATCATTAGTCAAAGTCTACCTAAAAACAAAAGACTGCAGAGGACCAGAGCTGTAAAGCACAGGCTAATGACTATAATCACTGATTATCTGTAAATATTCATTAGAATATACTGCAATGGAGAATTGCCAAGTTTTTATGTTGTGATGTTTCCCAGTGCAAAATTAGTACCGAATCTCTCTGATTCAGACCCTGCTTTTCAAAGAGCTCCAACAGCTCAGCTGAGAATTTGCGCCACTGTACATTGGGCTCAATACGTAAAGGACATACCAAAACCCACAGCTGTGTAGTGCCTGGAGTAACTGCTTAGTTAATGCTGGTTCTGACAAGTTAACTAGTAAAATCTCTTAGCTTTCCATCTTGTGGGCCAGTAAAGTACTTTTGCAGCAAGTCTAGCTCTTGCTGCAAAAGTAAAGCACAGAAACTTTGGGTACACCTGCTTTAAGCAGAATATGATAGTTAAGACTTGCAAAAGTTTTCAGCGTTTCATAAAAACAACCCTTTTTAATATTCAAATTGATTTTTAGGCTGTTTTATCCAAAAACTTAAGGAACAAGTCAATATGAAAATCTAGATATGCCCATATTGTGATAAAGGGTGCTTACAAGAAATAAACTTAACTGACATGGGAAAATATTAAGTATAAAAGGTACATATTCCCTTTCTTCCTAGACACCTAAAGGCCACAAATGCCCAGGCAGCCACTTCAATGCCCACCACTTACTCATATGCTTATCATTGTTTTATTTAGTTTACATTCTAAAAGTTTTGAAATTCAAACAATTTATAATTTTAAATGGACTCAATAAAATTCAACAAAGTAAACTTCCCTTTTTTTTTTTTCAAAGCAAACTTTGAACTCAACAAATACTCCTGGGTTTTATTAGGTAACATCAGCTTTTTTTTTTTTTTTTTGATATTATCAATTCCCAACAACTTTAGGGGTTGTTGGGATAATAATCTAGATTTTCTTATTTTAGTTTTACACATAGGGACAGTCTGCAGTATGAAGATAACACCTATTTCCCACTCGCCATTTACACATCATTTGGGTTTCTAGGATTTCAGTTCACAACTTGCTTGGGACATTGTTACTCCACTCTGATTCACTCAGGAGCCAAGAGTCAAATAAAGTGTCTCTGCTGAAAAGAAGTCATCTCAAAACAACTGTTGAATATTCAGATATGAATATTCACGACTGTCTCCTTAACAAACTTCTGCCAATTATGTTCCCTTAGTTGGAAATATTTATGCCACTTCCCTAGATTTAGCTTTAATGGCCATTCTTACTTCAGTTATTTTGTGCAATACATAGTTAAAAAAACAAAACAAAACAAAACTCTTCACCTTTTGTTTTCTCAAAGAACTTTCTCCACCCAACCCTCTGTAACTTTCTGCTATGGCATTATTGTGAAACTTCAAGGCTGTACTTTGGGGATATCTCTAATGCACGGAGAACCCCCTAACCATAACATAAGACATAAATTCTCTTTCGAGTAACAGGGTACTCTGCATGGTAGGCATTAATAAACTCAGGTACCTCGATAGGAACCTGAAAGATTCATACAGATTACACATGAGAACAGGGCACCAAGGAAACTGTTACTAACAAATATTGGCAGTTCTTTAAAGGACAGTGGATAACTGCTGAAGCTTTGTCATCTCTTACTGTCCTTAAGATAATTCTACATAAAGCACAAAAGTGATTTTCAGGGAAGATAGAAATCCAAAACTTCACATGCTACTACTTGCTCCTCTGTTTTAGATCATTATATGGTAAGGTAATCTGAGGTTAAATCTAATCTCTGCCATTCAGAGTTATATTAAAAATTTCCTAAATAATTTAATGACAATGACCACATTATGTGAATATTTCTGATAAGATTACAAATAATCAAAACATTGAGATTCAAAACCAGTAATATCTGGAAAATTTGCTTATAAAGTATGACTCTAATAATAAAATTAAGAGTTATTTATGAAATAAAACAGTTATGAAACACTTAGGAATACATGCTTATTCCATTTTCTGGATATTATTACTTTCTGAAATCTGTTGGGGGGCTAATTTTTATAAAAAGGGAACACAATTCCAGAAACTAGATGCCAAGATTATACAGAGACAAAAATCCCAAATAATTCAACACTGAGCTTGCTAGCACTGACTTCATATAAAAGGACTGTAAAAAGTAGTTTTAGATGCAAATACTGAATTCTGAGTCTTTCTGTTCGTCTTGTGTATTCTGTCAAATTAATGAAGTATGGTCTTGGATTGTCTTCTATGAGGTATCTGCAGAGTTACAGCTCACTCTGTAAACAGTACTTTGGACACTTCATCTGAAAATCATGCAGTTATCAGTCAGACCCGAGTGACTATGAGAGACCATGTTTGACATGGACACAGCTGTCAGGGACTCCATTAGGTTTGCGTTTATTGCTCTCAGGTCTGTGACTGCAGGATAAATAAGGCTGTAGACCCCAAGTACACAGGATCAGGTACTGGAACTCTGACAATTTGCACAAGTTCTGTTCATTTCTTGTCTGTAACTCTGGAGCTGAATAGTGCATTTATACATGCCAAATGTGTTCAGTAATAAATGCTTAGCTTTGGACTGCACTTCTTCCCATTTAGATGAACTTCCAGGAACTGCAATATCAAGAAAATATTGAATTATCTATTGTACACTGTTATACATTAGTAAACTAGATACAGAGAAGAAACAACAGTATACTGTGACCCTATGTGCATCAGTCTGACTCCCCCATCTAAGCCCTTCTTCTGGAGAAGACAGTGTGTAAGCCCAGAATGGCTTCTCATGACCTCAGTCTTTCCATGCTCAGCAGAGAGAATGCTGAATACAAGCCTCTTATTTAAGGACCTTATATTCCTTAAGAAAGAGCCAAATCCATATATTATTTTCATTTTTAAAAGCCATCAATCTCTGAAATGATTTAAACAAGAATCTGGCTTTTTATTATATAAAAGATGGCACAGCAAAAGTATATATATATATGCTGTCTTTAAAACTCAGGAAGATATCAATTTGTAATATCTTTCTCAAAGTACAAAAAAATTAAATAATATTATTTATTTATTTGGAGTTCTGGGAATTGAACACAGGGCCTCATGCATGGTAGGGCATGTGCTCTACCACTGAGAAATCTTCCCAGACTTTGTTATCCTTTGGACCTGCAATTTATCTTTTAAAGAATCTCACCCTCCCTTGTCTTTTTTTTTGTTTTGTTTTGTTTTTTTTTTTTTTTTTTTTTTTTTTTTTTTTTTTTTTTTGTTTTTCCAGACAAGGTTTCTCTATAGCTTTGGAGGCTGTCCTGGAACTTGCTGTGTAGACCAGGCTGGCCTCGAACTCATAGAGATCTGCCTGCCTCTGCCTCCCGAGTTCTGGGATTAAAGGCGTGCACCACCAACACCCAGCAACCTTAAGTCTTTTTTTTTGTCAGAAGTGTCTTCATACATATAACAAGCTCAGATGTTGGCTCCAAGAGCAGACACCTGTGAACCCCATTATCAACATACTTAGCTGCATGTGAACTATGGCAGTGGATTTTCCTGAAGTGAGAGACCAGATATTCAAATCTTCCACAGAATATACATCTTCTATTTTCATCAATGATTCTTTGATATAATCTACATTCAAGTGGCTTGGTACACCTATTAGTTTGAAACATATAATTTGTAAGTTTACTTTGGCAGGAAAAGTTTTATATTACATTTAAAGAAAACAAATGGTTTTGCTAAATTCAGTTCCAATGGATTCATTAAGCTATGCTTATATTTTAAGATAAATTACAGACATTTTTATAAAAATATAGGAAGTATACAAGATGTCAATAAATACTTTAAAAATGTCAATTCTAACTAAAATGGAGTGGCAATGAAGTTAGAACACAACACTAATAAGTTAGGATGGAAAAAATTTTTTTCAACATGGTTTCACTATGTAGCCCTGGCTGGCCTGGACTTGCCCCTATGTAGATCAGGTTGATGCTGAACTCACAGTGACCCATTTGTCTCTGAGTCCTGAGTGCTGGGATTACAGGCACGAGCCACTATGCCCAGCTTAGAAACATTTGATAAGGGTAGGTTATTGCTGAGAACTTTTGTCTTCATGCTTAGAAATGCTTTCAGGAAGACAAGGATGTCAAAAATATAGCAAAGTACAAATTAAATAAGATGAAGGAATTAAATAAACCAGAAGGTATAAATGCATGAAGAATCAAAAGCTGCATTCTCATCCTAGTTTTACAGTTTATTAGTGGCATGACACTGACTGTCAAACATTTTCTTATTTGTAAATGTCAATTCCCTCAACTGTCTGCTTTACCTACTGTAAGGGTCATGTGCATGACCCAGGGATTGCACTGCTTCTTGTTTGCTATGTACAAGAGTGTATCAGTAGAAGGCAAGTCATGGCTTCTGTCCAGAGCAATCCTGACTTGTTTTCCACTAGAGAGGGCTAAACCCACAGTGGGGCATTAATGAGTGCTTACCTTCCAGTATTATCACCACGGTGTCCCATATGATGCGAAATGTTGTGAAAGCCACCAGTAATGAAAATACATATGTACAGATGGGATCAGCAATCTTGTATTCTGGCTAAAAGGCAAACAGATGAAAGTTGTGTGACTAAACAGAGACTGACATTACAACACACTATAAAGTAAGAATGGCACACATCCCCTGCTCTTTATCTGTCTTTAACAGCATTGGAAAACACTTTTAAAACTCAGATACTATAACTGAGCAACATCCTCACTCTTAAGAAGTGTCTTTTCTGGGAATTTGGTCATTATATCTACTCTCTGTGTCTTCTTCTCTCAATTCTTCAATCAGAAGTAAAAGATACTGAGGCTGGAAAGAATTGTATCAGCCATCTGGATTAAAATAATCATTGAAGAGGGCGGAATTAAAATTTAGAGTTACTGCAAAGATGAGAACCTCAGCACACAGCCTATCGTGCAGTGGTTCAGTGACAAGGTTGAACACTGGGTTTTATAGTGAAGGTGCTATCAAAGCCAGCTACAGATAAATCAGCTACTAAGGTGACATCATTGTGCTTACTGATAATAAGCAAGTATACTGATGGCCAATTATCCTACGCCAGTGAAAAATTAATAGAAAGGCATTAGTGTCCAGTACATTGATAAAAGACAACTAGCTTTTTAAATGACCATTAAATACTTTTGAAGTAGGAAGTGAACTATTTTACCTTGAATCGTATGATGTATGCAGCTATAAGCACACCAACACTCTGTACCAAATCACCCAGGGCATGTACAAATGCAGCTCTCACTGCCAAGCTGTCCTGCCCATGGCTGTGTCCACTAGATACCATGGTGGGAGAATTTGAAGGCAGGGAGGGGGAATGGGAGTGGGAATGGTGGTGACCGGACTGGTTCAACAGAAACCCCATTCTGTTAAAAATGAAAGAGAACATATTATTTCTCTAAAATTATTGATGAAACATTTATTGCTGCTCAGTAGACAGTAATGGAGCAATGCAGAACAGTCATTTAATAAGGATGAAAGCAACTGTTACACAGAAAATATTGTTTTGATGGGACGTCAGAAGTGTAAGCAAATACTCATTGTCACACAGCCAGTTAATGTGAAATGCCTTGGAGATGTATACAGCTTTGTAGAAGTATGGGAGATGAGGGGCCAGGTGATGGGGTAGGTGGGTAGGGTGGGCACAGAAGAGCTCTCTCAGACTCCATTTAAGCAGAGACTCACAGAAGTCAAGAGCAGATGAAGGATTCGTAATCTAGGAAGAACAGCAGGCAAAGGCTTAAAATGAAAATGTGCTCCATGCACTTGAAAAAGGATGATACTGTGGCCAAAATACGGAAAGTAAAAAGTGCTAAGAGGCAAATAGAAGGAATACACAGGGTTTTATTTTATTTTAAAAATCTTCTGGTTTTTATTCTAACTTTGAATAGAAGCCATTAGACAGTGATTTGTAAACTAAGGCCACAGGACCGTATTTGGCTAATTTTTTTTTAAAGATGAAGTTTTATTAAAATACAGGCATATATATTTGTTCACACAATGAATATGGCTGCTTTTGTGAACACCTTGGGAAAATACAGGCATATATATTTGTTCACACAATGAATATGGCTGCTTTTGTTAACATCAGGGTTTCATCACTTCACATGAAACTGTATACTCTCAAAGACTCACTAACTAGCCTTTTTGTTGTTTTAGAAGTGTGGGAATCAAGCCAGGGCTTCATGCATGCTAGGGAGTGCTCTGTCACTAAGCTCCACCCATAACCCCATCTATTTAAAGAAAGTCTGCTAACTTCTGCTCTAAATGGTTAAGAATATAACATATTTCAGTAGTTTTGAGGAGGAAAACATGACTTTAAAATCTAGCCAACAGACTGGTGAGGTGCTCAGCAGGTAAAGGCACTCACTGCTAAGGTCTGACAGCCTGAGTTTGAGTCCTGGAACCCACATGGTCAAAGGAGAGAAATGACTCCCATAAGTTGTCCTCTGACCTCCATGTGTGCATGACATCATGTGTGCTCTCACATACACACAAATAAAATACATGTACAAAACCCTTAAAATGTAGCTAACACAAGATTATTAAATATTAAATAATGTACTGGGTTCTACTTAAATTCCTTAGTGTTAAACATGTGGGCAAGTTAATGAGTTTATAATGCTCCATTTTATTATACTTACAAGTAAAATTGATGTGCCATATTTTTAAATATGAAAACATTTTATGGTCTGAATACATGATGTGCAACAGTCTTTTAGCTTATAGCATATGAAAAAATATTGTGCTTACATTACATTAACTGCCACTCCAACAGCTGCAGTGATGAGCATGATATCACCATTTATTTCATAGTTCATATGGATCGTTCTCTGCACAGCTTCATATAAGAGGAATCCCATAAGTACATACACCAACATCACACTGATCATAGCTGACAAAACCTCTAGAAGGGAAGATGGAAAACACATGTAACTTCAGCACAGTTATTACACTTCACACCAACTAAATAGTATACAGTCTTCTACTTACATCTTCTTTCCTCTGAGGAGGTAAAAGTGCTGTTATTTTTCTTATACAACATTTTTTTACAAAGTATTTTGCAGATTGAATGATCTAGATCCTTAACTAATTCATCCCCATCCTCTATTCATATCTCAAATTATGTATATTTACAGGCTATTTGCAAGGTAAAACTGGTAAAGAAAAGAAGTGGAAATGTAACCACAGACTACTTTTCTAAAGAAGTAAGTACACTTAAAAGTCTAACAACGGGCTTGTGATGTAGCTCAGATGCATAAAGCCCTGGGTGGTCTCTAGCTTAATTCAGGTCTGGTAGTACATTTGTAATCCCATCACTCCTGAGGTAAGGTCAAATGGATCAGAAATTCATGGTCATCATCCTCAGCTATCTTGAGTTTGAGGCCAGCCTGGGATATAGGAGAGCTGGTCCTAACAGCACAACACTAATATAAATAACCTATAAGAAAAATGGGTAAGGAAAAGAATTTTTAAAAAGAGATAAGGAACTAAGAGTAATTTGTCATAGAAATGGAAAAATCCTCAATAACAAATGTAGTAAAAGAAGATTATATTTTATTACTCTGTATGGGTGTTTTGCTTGCATGGAAGTCTGTGTATCATGTGCATGCATGGTGCCTACAGAGGTCAGAAGAGGACATGGGATCCTGTGACTGGAGTTACAGACAGCTGTGAGCTGCCATGTGGGTGCTTGGGTTCTCTGGAAGAGCAGCCAGTGCTCTTAACCACTTAGCAATCTCTCTAGCCCCTCAAAATTCTTATATTCTTGTTAAGTTGGCAAAGAAATTTAAGACTGATAATTTCTAAAAATTAGCAGGGATACTAATGGAAATACTAAATGCTTTAACTTTTTTGAGAGACAATTAGTAAAACTAATCAAAATTTAAAATGCATATACTTCTTGATCTAGCAATTTTACTAGTAGGAAATAACATGTGTCCCAAGATATCTAGAGGGCTTTGCCTTGTAACACATACCTGAAGACATGTTAAATGTACATCCAACAGGAACTTAAAGGGTTAAGTATTATATACACAGTGCGGATACCAGGCACCTACTTACTACTTATCTACTTTAAAAAAGTAGATAACAAGAAAAATAAAAATCAGGCAAATTAATAAGACAGAAAGTATGTATCTGGGAAGTGGAATGAACCAGGGGCTTAGGGGATTTTTTTCATTAATTTTTTTGGGTAGTGTTTCAAATTTAAATTTTTAACCACAAACATTATAATTATACTAAAGGAAATCTGATAATTTATATTTAAGAAGCACAAGACAGATTATACTACCTGACTTAAAATGCTAATCAATTAATATGATTTATTACTCTGACCAAACAAAAAAGGTCTTTTACTATGGATAAATTACCATAGTAAATACCAAATTACTATTTGGAGAACTGCCAGGAATACTGGTAATTACTGCTTAAAAATCTCTGTTTTTTAATTTAAGGTAACAGGATGCAAATTGCAGTGGTTTGAAAGAAAATGGCCCCCCAAAGGGAGTGGCTTTGTTGTGTGGGTGTGGCTTTGTTGGAGGAAATCTGTCACAGTGGAGGGGGCTTTGAGGTCTCATATATGCCCAAGACACACCCAGTGTCTCAGACCACTTCCTGTTGCCTGCCAGCTAGATGTGTCTTGGTCAGCATTTGGCTATATAGCACTAATACTATACAGTTTGTTGCTTTACAGAAAGTATTCGACTAAAAATTTCCTTCATACAAGCATCAAGAAAAAAAAAAAGCCCTTCTCCCAAGTTGTGATTCATTTTTAACAGCTTCCTCCTACCCATGACAAAATCCATGCCTTTTATTATTCACATATTGCAAATTTAATCACATCACATGAACTCTTACAGGAAAAGAACTGAGTTCTAGAACTTGCTAGAAATGGGAGTTTAAATTGAGGCATAAGGAAGACCTGAATGAAGTAGTCAACATTGGCTAACCATAAGTCAGCCTGACCATAGCTGGCACTATAGATGGCGTAAGGAGTGATAGGCTTATAGTAAGCTGTGTGACCAGAGACAAACCCAAAACAAGACTAGGAGGTCTGGAGTAGGTCATAGTCTTATCATCGAATGGCTGATTGACCTCTTCCTTTTCTCTGGGAGGCAAACTTAACCTGTCTTTATTTGTGTCTTAGGCTCTGACCATCGTGATCTCCGCTCAGCAAACACTGTGAACAATACCTCTTCTATCGTCTTGCCATTGGCATTGGCTGAGTGAGGAGTTAAGTGATCACATCACACACTACCTTCCTACCCCACACTCAAACAGCTCTGCTTACTATAGTCTTCATATCAGTGCCATCCGGAAGATCTGGAAAAAATGCCATATAAACCAAGACAATTTTTCCTCCATTTTTTATTTAAATTAGAAACAAGATTGTTTTACATGTCAATCCCAGTTCCCTCTCCCTCCCCTCCTCCCCGCCCCCCACTAACACCCTACCTATCCCATACCATTTCTGCTCCCCAGTGAGAGTGAGGTCTTCCATGGGGGGGGGTCTTCAGAGTCTGCAATAGACTTTAGGATAGGGTCTAGGCCCTCCCCAGTGTGTCTAGGCTGAGGGAGTATCCCTCTATGTGACATGGGCTCTCAAAGTCCATTCCTATGCTAGGGATACATACTCATCTACTACAAGAGGCCCCATAGATTTCTGAGGCCTCCTCACTGACACCCACATTTATGGGGTCTGGATCAGTTCCATGCTTGTTTCCCATTCACACAACAAGGACATCTGTTTAACGATGTTCATAGCAGCATTATTTGTAATAGCCAGAACCTGGAAGCAGCCTAGATGCCCCTCAACTGAAGAATGGATACAGAAAATGTGGTATATTTACACAATGGTTTATTTACTCAGTGGAAAAAAACAATGGGATCTTGAAATTTGCAGGCAAATGGATGGAACTTGAAGAAACCATTCTGAGTGAGGTAACCCAGTCACATAAAGACAAACATGGTATGCACTCACTCATATATGGATTTTACACATAGAGCAAAGGATTATCAGCCTACAATCCACACCACTAGAGAAGTTAGGCAACAAGGAGGACTCTAAGAGAGACATACATGGTCCCCCAGAGAAGGGGAAAGGGACAAGATCTCCTGAGCAAATTGGGGGCATGGGGGGAGGGGAGAGGGAACTAGGAGAACGAGAAGGGGAGAAGAGGAGGGGTGAGGAGGACTTAAAGGAGCAGGAAGGTTGAGTAGGGGGAAAGAATAGAGGAGAGCAAAATAAGAGATACCATCAGAGAAGGAGCCAGTATAGGTTTAAAGATAATTCAGGCACTAGGGAAATGTCTAGAGATCTACAAAGATGACACCAACTAACCATCTAAGCAATAGTGGAGAGGCTACCTTAAATGCCCTCCCCTGATAATGAGATTGATGACTAACATATATGCCACCCTAGAGCCTACATCCAGCAGCTGATGGAAGTAGAAGCAGACACCCACAGCTAAACACTGAACTGAACTGGAATCCAGTTGCAGAGAAGGAGAAGTGATGAGCAAAGTGGACAAGACCAGGCTGGTGAAACCCACAGAAACAGCTGACCTGAACAAGTGTGAGCTCTTTGCCCCCAGACTGATCACTAGGAAACCAAGACAATTCTTAAGGTAATTCACAGAGAGGCAAAAAGGAAGAAGGGAGATGGGGTGACTATCTTCAGAATGGCCCCCTTGGAAGAGAATATTTTTCCTCCTGAGGATTTGAAATTTCTTTCATTGTGGTTTTATTAAATCTCAAGTTTTATTAGCTCTCAGAGTAAGGAGAAATGCCACATCAAATAAATCCAGACATTTAAAAACAATACACAAGGCTTTGTTCCTCTCTCCCTTTCCCTACATAATCCTGCTGCTTTAGCTCACTGTGAATAAAGAAAACACAGAATGATTTCATACCATCCACAGCTTTACATGAAAGGAAAGAAAAACTGCAGCAATTTCAGAGGCTGTGGTGACAACTCTAAGAGAAGAGGGTGACTAGCCCTCCTGCTCATTTCCTTGGCCCTCAGCATTTCTTATCTGTAAGAAACACAAATTCTGTTTTATTTCAGAATGAGGATTCTCAACAAATTATGAAAAAAATTAGGAAAACATGCATACCTGCTACACAGAAGCCTTGAATTCATTTTAACTGTTTCTCAGAGAAGAAATGAAGCTGATTAAATGAAGAATGACAATTCCTTTAAGTGCTGGGCACTGTCGTGAGTGCTTTCCAAAGAGTAATGCACTTACTGCCCATAATAACTCTATGCAGGAGATGCTATTGTTAGCATCCTTTACAAACAGAAAACCAAGGCACAAAGATGTTACAGAACTTGCCTAAGGTCAGACTGGTAGGAAGTGAGACAGCCAGAATTTGAATCAAGCTATTCGTGTCTTTATTGCCTCTCATGGGTGTTTGAAAATACCAATTAAAAGGCTATAATTGCCGGGTGTTGGTGGCACACGCCTTTAATCCCAGCACTCAGGAGGCAGCAGCAGGGTGATCTCTGTGAGTTTGAGGCCAGCCTGGTCTCCAGAGCGAGTGCCACAGTAGGCCCCAACCCTACACAGAAAAACCCTGTCTTTAAAAAAAAAAAACAAAAAACAGAAACCAAAAAAAAAAAAAAAAAAAGGCTATAATCAGCTGGGGGAGGGTGTCGAATGCCTTTAATCCCAGCACTCAGGAGGCAGGTTAATCTCTGAGTTCAAGGCCAGCCTGTTCTGCAAAGTGAGTTCCAGGACAACCAGAACTACACAGAGAAATTCTGTCTTGAAAAGCAAAAAAATACCCCAACCAACCAAACAAACAAACACAAAAAAACAAACAAACAAACAAACAAAAAACAAAAAAACAATGCTATATCCAACAGACTGGAATTGTGTGTGTCTGTATATGGGTATACATACACATGAGTGCAAGATGACTGCTAAAATCAGAGGCAGCTGATCACTTTGGGGTAAATCCACATACAATACCACCACCACTACCAACAACAACAAATACAAAACAAACAAAAATTAACTATCAATGGTCCTTAATGTCCCTCAATATTAATGGTCTTAATAATAATCGTCTATAAAAAGACACAGGCTAACAGAATGGATATGAAGACAGAATCCATCCTTCGGCTGCATACAAGAAACACACCTCAACTTCAAAGACAGACGTTACCTCAGAGTAAAGGGTTGGGAAAAGATTTTCCAATCAAATGGATCCAAGAAACAAGCTGGTGTCCCTATCCTAATATCTAACAAATTGGACTTCAAACTAAAATCAATCAAAAAAATAAAGAAGGTCATTTCATATTCACCACATGAAAAATCCATCAGGATGAAGTCTCAATTCTGCCCCAAATACAAAGGCACCCACATTGGTAAAAGAAACATTACTAAAACTCAAATCACACATAAAACCTCACACACTCATAGTGGGAGACTTCAATACTCCATTCTCCCCACTAGACAGGAACACCAGACAGAAACTTAACAAAGAAACAAAAGAACTAACAGAGGTTATGACCCAATTAGGTTTAACAGACATCTATATAACATTCCATCCAAACAGAAAAGAATATACTCTCTTCTCAGCGCCACATGGCACCTTCTCTAAATTGACCACATACTTGGCAACACAGCAAACCTCCACAGATACAAAAAAAAATTGGAATAACCCCTGTATCTTACCAGACTGCCATGCTTTAAAGTCAGAATTCAAAAACAACACAAAGTGCCGAAACCCTACACACTCATGGAAATTGAACAATGCACAATTGCACCATTCCTGGGTTGAGGAAGAAATAAAAAAAGAAATTAAGGACTTCCTTGAATTCAATGAGAATGAAGACACAACATAACTTATGGGACACTCTGAGAGCAGTGCAAAGAGGAAAGTTCATAGCACTAAGTGCCCACATGAAGAAACTGGAGAATAGTCACACTACAGAATTGACAGAACAACTGAAAGCTCTAGAACAAAAAGAAGCAAACTCACCTGGGGGCAGTAGATGACAGGAAATAATCACATTGAGCACTAAAATCAATAAAGTAGAAACAAAGAAAACAATACAAAGAATTAATGTAACAAAGAGTTGGTTCTTTGAGAAAATCAACAAGATAGACAAACCTTTATCCAAACTAACCAAAAAACAGAGAGAGAACATGCAAATTAACAAAATCAGAAATGAAAAGGGGGACATAACAAAGGACACCGACGAAATCTAGAGAATCTTCAGGTCATACTTTGAAAACCTGTACTCCACAAAATTCAAAAATTTAAATGGACAATTACCCAAAATAAATCAAGAACAGATAAGCAATTTAAATAGACCTATAACCCCTAATGAAATAGAAGCAGTCATCCAAAGCATCCCCCCACCCCAAAAAAATCCCAGGGCCAGATGGTTTCTGTGCAGAATTCTACCAGAAATTAATTCAAAGAAGAGCTAATATCAATACTCGTCAAAGTGTTGCACACAACAGAAGCAGAAGGTTCATTGCCAAACTCTTTTATGAGGCTACAATGACCTTGATACCCAAGCCACACAAAGACCCAACTAAGAAAGAGAACTACAGACCAATATCCCTCAAGAACATTGATACAAAAATACTCAATAAAATACTGGCAAATTGAATCCAAGAACACATCAGAGAAATCATCCACCATGATCAAGTAGGCTTATGCCAGGGATGAAGGGATGGTTCAACATCTGAAAATCCATCCATGTAATCCACCTTATAAACAAACTGAAGAAGAAAACCCACATGATCATCTCACTAGATGACGAAAAAGCCTTTAAAATACAACACCCCTTCATAATATAGGTCTTGGGGAGATCAAGCATAACTGGAATGTACCTAAACATAATAAAAGCATTATACAGTAAACCAACAGCCAGCATCCAACTAATTGGAGAGAAACACAGAGATTCCTCTAAAATCAGGAACAATACAAGGCTGTCCACTCTCTTCACATCTCTTCAATACTGTACTTGAAGTTCTAGCTAGAGCAATAAGACAACAAAAGGAGATCAAGGGGATACAAATTGGAAAGGAAGAAGTCAAACTTTCAATATTTGCAGATGATATGGTAGTTTACACAAGTGACCTAAAAACCCTACCAGAGAACTCCTACAGCTGATAAACACCTTCAGCAAAGTGGCTGGATACAAGATTAACTAAAAAAAATTAGTAGACCTACTATATACAGACGATAAATCGGCTGAGAAAGAAATCAGAGAAACATCACCCTTTACAATAGCCACAAACAACATAAAATATCTTGGGGTAATGCTAACCAAACTAGTAAAAGATCTGTATAGCAAGAACTTTGAGTCTTTAAAGAAAGAAATTAAAGAAGATACCAGAAAATGGAATGATCTCCCATGCTCTTGGGTAGGTATGACCAACATAGTAAAAATGGCAATCTTTCCAAAAGCAATCTAGAGATTCAATGCAATTCCCATTAAAATAATGGCATAATGCTTCACAGACCTTGGAAAAATAATACTCAACTTTATATGGGAAAATGAAAGACCCAGGATAGCCAAAATCAACTGTACACAATAAAAGAACTTCTGAAGCATCACCATCCCTGGACTTCAAGCTCTATTATAGAGCTATAGTCCTGAAAACAGCTTGGTATTGACAAAAAAATAGACAGACTAATGGAATCGAATTGAAAACCCTGATATTAACCCACACACCAATGAAAACCTGATTTTTTTTGACAAAGAAGCTAAAATTATACATTGGAAAAGAGAAAGCATCTTCAACAAATGATGCTGGCATAATTGGATGCTGGCAGGTAGAAGACTACAGATAGATCTATATCTATCACCATGCACAAAACTTAAGGCCAAATGGATCAAAGACCTCAACATAAATTCAGCCACACTGAAGCTCCTAGAAGAGAAGGTGGGTGGTACCCTCAAATAAATTAGTACAGGAGACCACTTTCTGGGAAAGGACAGGAGAGGAGGACATGAGGGAGCAGGAAGGTTGAGTCTGGAGAAGAATAGAGGAGAGCAAGATAAGAGATACCATAATAGAGGGAGCCATTATAGGTCTAAAGAGAAATCTGGCACTAGGAAAATGCCCAGATATCTACAAGGATGACCCCTGATTGGGGAGGTCCTTCTGTGTATATGATTGTCTTATTGGTTGATAAATAAAGTACTGTTGGCCAATAGGAAAACAAGATAGGTGGGACTAGGAGTCAAGGAGGAATCTGAGAAAGGCAGGAGAAAGTGCAAGTCACCATGTGAGCCTGGGAAGACAGGATGCTTGCCGCTGGTGTCTGATAAGATAAGTCTTATTAAATATATAGATTTATGATAATTAAGACTGAGCTAGCAGATGAGAAATCCTAGTTATTGGCCAAGCAGCATTTGTACCTAATATAAGTCTCTGTGTGTTACTTGGGACCTTAACGTGGCAGTGGGTGGAACTTGCGCAGCCAGGCGAAAAGCGCCCACGTGGCAGCAGGACTCGGGCAGCTTGGAGGAAAGACTTATTGTTACAGACCCCAACTAAGAATCTAAGCAATAGTGGAGAGGCTACCTTAAATGCCCTTCCCCTATAATGAGATTGATGACTACCTTATATGCCATCCTAGAGCCTTCATCCAGTAGCTGATGGAAGCAGAAGCAGACACCCACAGCTAAACACAGAACTCAACTCCTAGAATCCAGTTGCAGAGAGGGAGGAGTAATGAGCAAATGGGTCAAGACCAGGCTGGAGAAACCCACAGGAACAGGTGACCTGAACAAGGGGGAACTCATGGACCCCAGACTGATAGCTAAGAAACCAGTATAGGACTGACCCAGATGCCCAGAACATGGGTGTCAGTTAGGAGGACTGGGCTGTCTATGGGGCCTCTGGTAGTGGATCAGTGTTTATCCCTAGTGTACAAATGGACTTGGAAGACCATTCCACATAGAGGGATACTCTCTCAGCCTAGACACAGGGAAATGAAAAACCTCTTTCTCCCTGGGGAGCAGAAAGAGGATGGCATGCATAGGGGGTTGTTTGTGGGTCAGGGGAGGAGGGGAGGGAGAGGGAAATGGGATTGACATGTAAAACAAGATTGTTTCTAATAAATTTAAATAAAAAATTGTATAAAAATAAATTATTACAATATGAAAAAAAAAAAAAGAAATAAGTCAAGCTAAGACCGGGCATTCATAGGAAAGAAGTCTCTGTGTGATTATTTGGGAAATGGGTGGCAGGCCCCCCAAAGAGTTAAGAGAAAAACAAAAACCCAACTACATTAAACCATGTTTATATTTACTACTGTCAGATAATGTTTAATTTGGTTCTTTGGTAGAGTGGTAATTTCTAATAACTGCAGTTCTATTTCCTGCCTCCTTATATAGAATCTCAATGCAATAGCCAGTATTCAAAAATTCAAAGAACATTATTTTTGTCTCAATTCTTCAATGTGCATTATTAAGGGCTGAGTTTTTCAAACCAGAAAGTTCTTAATTTTGGGGTCTTCATAGAGTAGTTCAAATAGTTCTTTTATGTATTTTCAGAGTAAGGAACTAGTTTAAAACCATGGCAACAGTAAGAACCAGAGCTATGTAGGTAATAGTATAGATTTAAACCCTTCTAAACTAAATATTATGAATGTATTTGCAGAATTACATTGATATAATGCAAGGTCAGTCACATACTATATTTTGTACATATGATGAAAATGCTTAATATGTGGTTTCAGTTGAAATTCTTGAAGTACAACGAAGCAGCAAATGCTTATTAGTGAGTGACCCAGATGGTTTTGTTAGGTTCAATAAACTGGAACCACACCTCCTTATGATGGCATCTTTAGAAACAACGAAGACATGAGCACTGTAACCACATAGTTCTGTACTCCTCAGGGAAGCCTGAGTGGGATGCTCCATGGCAGACAGCTTTGTGGATAAGTCTCATTACTTATTTTCCTTTGCTATGTTCAATTCCATTACCACCTTAAAGATTTTAGCTAATCAGGGTCATAGTTCATTATAGCTTTACATTAAAGTATTTTAAGCCAAAAGAAATTTATGTTACCTACCTAGGCGGTGAAATCCAAAGGTGAATCTTCTGGTTGGTGACTTTGAGGACAGCCACAAAGCAAACAAAGTGAGTATAATGGCACTAAGGTCAGTTAGCATATGAAGTGCATCTGTCATAATCGCTAAGCTATTTGCGATGTATCCACCTGGGAGAAAGGGAAGGAAGATTAACTAAAAAATGTAGATAATCAACTGAAATGTACAACATACTACAAAATACAATGTGAGATAAATTTCTTCCGAGATCAGACAAGATCAGGTGCATTCAGGGTGGTATGGCCATAGACAACAATGTGAGATAAATTTCTATCCTTATACAGCTAAATCAAAGTATTCTGAAATTTCATGCAAATTGTGTGTATGTCATATCTTTCAATTTATATGGGGATGATTCCAGAAACCCCTTTGAGTATCAAAATCTGTTCCTGTTCAAGTATCTTATATAAAGTGTTCTATTTGCACACAGCCTTACATATAAACCTACACATAGTTTACATTATTTCTAGGTCACCAATACAATGTAATTATTATAGTGTACTATTTAGGGAAATACTGTAAGAAGACAAGTCTGTACATATTCTATACAGACACGTTATTTTTCAAATATTTTCCACCCATGAGTAGCTGAAACTATGGATATAGCACCTGTGGGCATGCAACTTGTGGGTATGGAGGGCCCACTGTACAAATTTCTGGCAAATAACCCCATTTCTAATAACAGGTTCTCCAAAGTGTTAATTACTTCATAAAGTTAACCATTAAATTGGCAGTAAAAACAAAACAAGGATGACAAGTTTTGTTTAACTTGCTAATTCTATGAATATAGCGAGTTAATAACTACATTATCTGAATACCACAGCAAAGCAGGAAAAACATGTTTTCTTTTATTCATGAAGGGTTGAACATGAAGTGACATTGAAGAATTCTATAAAGTGCATACTGGTTCAACCAAAGGGTAAAAATTAGCTTAGCTTATACTTTTGAATACAGATAACAACCTCTGAAGAGAGGAACAGAAAATGATATTTAGAAAATACATTGTAATCAATGGCATAGGATTAGTATGGTGTGTGTGTGTGTGTGTGTGTGTGTGTGTGTATGTGTGTGTGTCTTAGATCTTAAATGTCTCCATCACAATTCAAATTGCTGATTCATCTCTATTAGGAGATATTAAGAGGTTGGAAGTTTAAACTGATCTTTGGGAGGTAATGTTAAATGAGAACTCAAGGGGAAGGCCTCAATTCAACAGGACTTTATAGGAAGAAGAGATCTGAATGAAGAACATCTTTTCTTATCATGTGACCCCTCAATACTGCTTTGAGACTGAAAAGGACCTCAACAAATGTGACCTCTAGATCTTGAATTTCCTAGTCTCCAGAAACACAGGCTGAATAAACTTTTCTGCTTTATAAATTAGTCTGTGATGTTCAGTTATGGCAACATAAGACAATATATATTAGGGTTTGTGATTTCAGGTGTCCATTAAGAATCTTGGAATATATCCACATGGGTAAGTGGGGACAATCACACAACTGTATGTATGTATGTATGTATGTATGTATGTATGTATATTAACATACATACATTTTCTTTTTTTAATATTAATTTTATTCTATTCTGGAAGAGTAGAATAACTCATTTTCTTTTATTTTATTTACCTTTTTGGAAATAGGGTCTTACTATGTAGCTCTGGCTGGCCTGGAACTCAGTATGTAGATCAAGGTGGCCTTGAACTCAGAGATATGCCTGCCTCTGCCCCCAAGTACTGATATGCAACATGCACCACTATGGCTGTCCCTCCTTTTCTAAATTTCCTAAGAGTTTTTGTTTTATTGTTTGTGTTCAAGTTCCTTTGAGGCTTTTATTGTTCAACAGGGTTTTTTTTTTTACCCTGAATTTCTTTTGTAGAACAACCTGTTCTTTTCTAGATACATGATGTTATCTCTGTGTATACAAATTATATGATTATAACTGGCTCTTAAAACAGGTTTTTCACTATCTTTCCTTATTTTAGCCTTCTTTGTACATACATAGAGGCACTTGGCATGGCCCAGTCAGGCCTGCTTAGGATGCTCTAATGCAATAGTTTTAGATGTGGGTCCTGTGGAGGTAGCATCAGCATTCCCTGGGTTCCAATCAAAACACAAGCGCTGGTCAGGCATAGTGAGGCACAGCTTTAATAGCAGCATTCAGAAAGTAAAGGCAGGTGAATCCCTATGAGTGTGAGGCCACCCTGGTTTACATAGTGAGTTCCAGGTCAGTCAGGGCTACAGAGTAGCAAGACTGTCTCAAAATACATACATGCATACATGCTCTGGCCTTATCCCAAGCCTCTCTTATTAGAACTTCTGAGGGTGGGGACCAGTACTTTGAGTTTTAACAAGTTCTCTTCATGACTGTGATGTATATATAGCAAAGCCTGAGATGCACTACTGTAGTGTAACCTAGGTTGGTACTCAGCTGAGGTGTGGGCTTTCTTGAGTGTAGTAAACCAGTTAACTCTGTTTCTTTTCCAGGCTCCAAGATTTTTTGTTATTTTTTCTCCTTTTTAGTTTTTCCCATCTGTGTGTATTTATTCCTTCCCCCAGGAAGCCAAATCCCTTTAATTCAGTTAAAGAGATATTTTGAGATAGGGAAAAATTAAATACACAGTTCTTTATCTAAAAGTCAGTGTGTATATCTTTATGTGTTTTTAGGTGCAATAAAAACTTGTAAAATACTGCTTTTCTGTTACCAAGTCCAAAGGGTATCTTAGTTTTCATCTAAGAAGATATCTTATTTCCTCTTTGAAATACAGCAGTCCTCCTCACCCTGTTCTGAGGCATGTATTCCAAGATCCTCACTGGACAGCTTGAATCTTGGATAGTATCAAATACTGTACATATATTTTTCATACACATACTAACCTAAGATAAATTTAAATTATTTGTTAGGCACAATAAGAACTAATACAGTAACTAATAATAAAACAGGGCAGCTGTAACAATACAACATAAAAAGTTACATGAGGAGACATTAGACAAAGGGATGATTTATATCCAGAGCAAGATGGAGTAACAGTGAACAGTTTAAAAGATGGATTATGTAGTTCTTGAATTTTCCATTTAATAGCTTTGGATATGGCAGTTGTAGTGAATTAAAACTGTAGAAAGTGGCATCAATGGTAAGGGAGAGAGAGGGACTGATGTAGTTCATTTCCTTGAGTTTGGGGATACCTGTTGCCTCTCTAAAGTTGAAGTTCCTCAAGACATGGGTTCTCAGGTAATTCTGCCTATTCTGACATCATCTACCGTGCTGGTCTGTTTTCTAAAGAACAGGCTTGTATCTAATAGCCCACCAGACATTTCCACTTGTCTGCATAAGCATGCAAATAAACATGTTTAGGTAGCCTTTGAGTCCATGCCTCAGTTTTGTTCTGCACCCTCTTTCTACTTCATAAATGAAGTAGCACCCTTGTATCCAACTGGTGAGTGAGAAACTCAAGATCATTCCTGATCTGCTCTTTCCTCAACCCCTATGTCCAGATCAGTCAGTTCTGTTAACCTCCCCTGAGACTGTCTCTCCTGCATCTACTTGGGTTTGTTTCTAGTCAGGATCTCTCTAAGTCTGCTCTCATTCTTGCACCCCCAATCCTTTCTTCACAGAACATCCACAGTGATCTTTTAAAAAGTCACTCTCCTATGTAAAGCCCTTCACTGGCTTCCCATTGTACTTAAAACAAAAACTGCACTCATTCAATGTGGTCTATCAGGACTTGTTTATCTGGTCCTCCTGCCTCCTTCCTTTATGACTACTGTACTCCAGTCACACCAGTCTTCTGTCGGTTTATTAAAAGAACTGAAAGCTTTGGGACCTTTGCACATGCTTGGATGATTCCTAATATCCTTTTTGTTGTTGGCTTTAAATGCTCCTATCCCATGCAAAAACTATATCCCACTGGGTAATATGTCTATTCTTTTTCTTCATAGAATTTAAGAATATCTGAATTTATAATTTAACCACCTCGTTATTCATTTAATGTTTGTTAGGTCAGGAACTTCAGATAATAAGAACAGTTTTGCTCTTCATTAGATAGCCAGAACATGCAGGACAATGCACACAAACTAACATGTAGGTGCTCAGAAAAGATCTGTTGAATGGAAGGGAGGAAAGATAACACACCCTGTCCAATGTCTTGAGCAAGTCAGAGGCAAACCTAGATTCAAAACTGTCTCCTCTCACATCTCTAAGTGATTTTTTCATTGGTTCAGACTTCCTACATTAGATGATTTATTTCTAAGTTCTTTGGATACATTTTAATAAGCACTACACTAGATCTAAGTCTAGATAACATTCTGAGCACTACAGTTCCTATCATTTCTGTATTATTAACAAAAGACTCTATATTTGGATGTTAAGTCAGTTTTGGAAAGGAAATACTTATTGTGGCTTTTGCAAAAATATTTCCTAAGTGAGAGACTCTGGAAATGAGAAGTCAGGACAATTAAATATTAATTTTTACTTAAGTTAAATTACATCTAAATTAATTTTAAGGGAGAAAATTATGACTAACATGTCTAACTAACTTCAAATTCTCAATATCAACTTCAAAAACCACTAAGTGTGATTGGTGAGTATTTCAGTTGCATGAGTTTGAGAAAGTCCCTGGAACTTAGCCTGCTGAAGTCAGGAGATCACATTCTGACTACAGCTTACCATCTCTGTATTTCATAGTTTACACATTTATAATTCTCTAACAGAATAATTCAGAGTGCTTGGCCCTAAATGGAACACCTGTATTACCTTCTCTGAGGCTCAGAGAATATGTGGAAGAGGAGGTGGAAAAAGAGTTCAGAGCTGGAGGATGGGGAAGAGTGCCACAAAAAGATGTCTTCTGTATATGACATAGCGTTGCACTCATGGACATGCTGCCACCGTGGTTCCTTAATAAGAACTTCAACAAGATTGGGCCTGTCAAAATTTCATCTGGGAAGAGAGAGGGTTTTATCTCTCCCTGAGGGACTGCTAATGGTTTCTGGGGAAGAGGGTGTCACTTTCTCACTGGTGTACTCACTGATAAATTGCTATGCTTCATAAGTAACTTTCCTCCAATGCTCACACAAACAGCCCCCATTAAAGTCAGTGAGTGTGCCACATACCCCCAAAAGACACACAAGTGGGAACCTTGTTAGGAAGAAGGTTTCCAGAGGGAAAGGAAGGGGGTATGAAAGAGAATGGGTGTGTACAATGATTAAAATGCATTATAAATAATATGAAACCCCAAAGAATTTTAAAAATATAATTAAAAAGTCAACAAAATCTCATTTACTATGCCTCCTTTGTATCATTCACTGTTTGATGTATTACGCAGTCAGCTTGTATTTCAGTAAAGGAATATTAAACAAATAACAGGCATGTAAAGAGTTACAGTGGGAAAATAAGATGACAGAAATTTATTCCAGACAGTTAAAAAAAAAAAAGAGGCTTTCAGAGGTGTCTTTTGAAATGAGATATGACTAACACACTAGCCAGTAGATGATCTGGGAAAAGGCAGGAATATAAAAGCTGAGGTCAGAGGCTGGAGACAGCTCAGTGGTTAGGAGCACTCCCTATTCTTGTTATGGTTCCCTGCACCCACTCAGGAAGTTCGAAACCACCTGTAACTCTGCTGCAGGGGATCTGAAGCCTCTGTCTCTAGGCACCTGCATTCACTCATGCGCACACACTCACCCTCCCCACACAAACATGTAATTAAAATGAAGTGAACATTTTTGAAAAAGCTGGTAGATGGGTGATGTGACACAGCAAGCCTACTAGTGGGCCACAAACTTAGTACAGTGGGCTGAGAGATGACTGAAAACATTACAACAGAGTATATAAAATTTCTGTTTGCTCTGCACATATATTTATAGTGAGATCTGTGGATATGTTCATACCTAAGTTTACATGTGAAGTATTTTTTATTACAGTGTATTTCTTGTTACAGTGAAGTCAACAAAAGTTTGACAACCATTGGGGGATCAACTTGTTATGAATTCCATAAGGGCAGGAGAAAGGGAGCCCTGAGAAAGGAAAGATGATCATTACAGGTGAGTTCACACCGAGGAAGAAAGATAGGGCATGAGGCAGGGAACAAGCGTGATTCTGCCTCACAAAGCTTTGTCCAAGCACTTTTAATCAGTTCATAGTTCATTGTAAGAGACAACAGGAGAGAACCATCTCCCCTGTGAATGTCACTTTATAATTTGTCACTAAGAAGTTGTTAGTTAGTCCTCTCCATATGTGAGTACTGCATTCATGGATCCCATCAATCATGGCTGGAAAACATTTGAAAAATCAACACTGCCTCAGGACTCACCACGCACAGACTTGTTCTCTAAACAATATAGAATAACAACTACTTACACAGCATTTATTTTGTAGTCGAAATAATTTCCAAGTGATTTACAGTAGAGAAGGACGTATATGTAGGTTATATGCAAATAACTGCTTCATTTTATGTAAGGGACCTTTACATAAGGCGTCTTTGGATGAGGCATCCTGAGATTCAGGTTTGTAGAGGGCACTCCTGGAACCAATTCACCCTTGGATATGAAGGGGCGACTATAAAGTCATGTAATAGTAAAAATAAGGTCGAAACTAAGAACCTTAAAGTGAGAAATTATTATCCGAAATACTTAAAAATGAGAAAGAACACAAGCCCTTGAAGCCGTGGAGCCGCCCTCTGCTCACTTAGTCTCCTTATAATAATAAACTTGCAGTCAGTTGGCAGGATTGAAATCTGTAAAGCCCTTGGTTATAAGCCCAAAAGGAAATGGCATAAAAGGACCAAACGTGTCACATGTAGAGAGAAAGAAAAGTCTAGTACGGCAGATGGCTCATCCATTCCCCATAAGGTGGACTCATAAAGTTAAGGCTTTCAGAACCCCTATGTGTGAAAACAGAACGGTGTTCGGCAACGTCCCTGAATAGAATAAAATTCTGATTCTAAGCAAGGTTAGAATTATTTTACATGTCCGGGGATCAACCTGATGGGAATCTGTAGAAAGAGAAGTTACGTGATACTCAAGCAAGTTAACGCCGTAAACCCTACAGTAAATGGCACACGGAGCTATCTGTGGACGCTCAGGGAGCCGCACTTTGGAATCCGGTGGCCTTTTCATGTCCTGCGGATGTCTCTCCATACCTAACACACTTCCTGAAAACAAAGTTTCAACCTCAACTTAGGTGTAGCTACCAGCTGGACAGAGCCAAGGGAGAGCCAGGCGGCGACAGCACTCACCTACAAGCTCTCCGATCATGAAAAGCAAGTACAGGACGGCAGCAATGGTCAGCCGGGTCTTCACCTTCCTCTGCTTCAGCAGCTCGCGCCGTTTGCTGCAGTTGTCACAGGGGTCCATCTTCAAACTCAGCTGACTGTTGGTCAAAGGTAAGTCCTGGTCCAATAAGGAGTCATCGTCGGCCTGGAGGGCCGGGTGCGCCCCGCCCCCAG